CCGCTGGCCCTCTGGGCCCTGGAGGGAGCCACAGGGCCCTGCTCTGGCTGTGGGGAGGCCCAGCTGCCCCCATAAGCCTGCAGATTTGGGGATAGATGGCAGCCTGGGTTTCATTCTTGTCTTCCCACTCTTATCTTGGCTTGTAGATGCTGTGGTTAATTTTATGTGTCAACTTGGCTAGGCCACAGTACCCAGATATTTGGTCAAATGCCAGTCTAGATGTTTCTGTGAAGGTTTTCTTTCCTTTTTTTTTTTTTTTTTAAATGATGAGATTAGCATTTAAATCAGCAGACTTTGAGGAAAGCAAATACCCTTCGTGTTGTGGTGGGCCTTATCCAATCATGTGAGACTTAGGAGAAGAGACTCAGGTCCCCTGAGGAAGAGGGACTTCTGCCTCCTGACAGCCTTTGGTCTCAAGCTGCAACATCAGCTCTTTCCTGGGTGTCCAGCTGCTGACTTGCCACAATCACATGAGCCAATGAGCCAGTTCCTTAACATAAATCTCTATACACACATCCTACAGTTTCTGTTCCTCTGGAAAACCTTGACTGACTCAGGGACCTCTCCCCCCGCCCCCCCACCTGTGTTCCCTTCTGTACATCAGTCCCTTTCTGAACTGCAGGCCGTCCATGCGTCATCCCACCACTGCATCTAGTCCAGGTGCCCTGACCAGTCCCTGTGGCTCAGGGGCTGACCTCCTAGCCCAGACATTGTCATCTTCCCAAACTGACCCCCTGTCTCTATTAAACACTCATTCTCCCCTCTCCCCACCCCAGTCCCCCACAGTCTACTCTCTGTCTCTGTGGACCTGACTCCTCCAGGAACCTCAAATCAGTGGAATCACATAGTGTTTGTCCTTCTGTGTCTGGCTTCTTGCACTGACCGTCAGCCCTCAAGGTCCTGTCATGTTGGAGCAGGTGTCAGACTGTGCTCCCTTTTCAGACTCAATCATACTGGGCTGTGCGGAGGGACCTTTCATCCCTCCACGGACAGTGGGGCTGCTGTCAACTGTTGGCTATTGTGCATTGATGTACAAACTTTAAAAAGTAATTATTTTAACAGTTGAATAATATTCCATATAATAATTTATTTTTGGAATTCAAATGAGATAAAAACATAACAAAAAACCAACCATTACTTTGTGCCCAAGGCAGGGGTCCAGGGAACCTGAGCCCCAGGCAGCTCCCGCCATCCAGGCCGCACCCCCAGGCTGGCTTCATTTTGCCTGAAAACCAACGGGAGCTGAGTCCTGGGGATCTGTGTGCCTGGCCAGGACCTCTGGCTGGGAGGAGCCAAAGGGTGGGGGAGGTTGGGAAGTGGCTCCTGGGGTGGACTGAGCGGCCACCCCATGGCAGACATGAAGCTTCAGGGCCATATCCTGGACAAGTGGCCGCCTCTGTCCAGAGTCTCTTCCTGCCTGAGGGTGGACAGCTCGGCCACTCTTTCTTCTGCTCCAGTGGCCCTTGGAGGTGCCCCTGACATGTGGTGAGCTCAGGGGACTCCAAGATGTGGGAGCTGAAGGCTGAAGGGAGCCCTATACCCCTGTCCACAGTGAGTCAGTGGGCTCAGGAGTCACAAACACGGGGTTCCGCAGGCAGGTAGGGCAGCCTGACTGAGGTCAGAGGGTACAGGACTCCCAGGAAGGGTTCGATTGAACCCAGTTAGGGGGCTCCAGTGATTGGGGTGAACTCTGTGCTGGCCTTGATCACCCTCAGGAGGACTCCTCACATCCTGAAGTCTTCAAAACTCGGAGCCTCATCTACCTGCAAAGGGGATGGATCCATTCCCACTGGACCGCTGACCCACAAGGGCTGTGCCACCCCCCGCCCCCCGCCGCCCCCCCGCCCCCCACGCTGGGGCAGCCCTGCCTGCATGACCCGGAGGCGGAGCTCCCTTTGAGATCGGTGCCTTCCTCCTTCCAGGAGACCTTGGCCAGAGTCCTACAGGCCTAACCTGTCTTTTCTGTCCCGCGGGACTCCTAGGCCCAGGTGTCAGCCCCTCTCCCTGCGCTGCAGACCTGGGACTGGGAGCGCCCAGGGGCTGGTGGGCGTGTCCTCCCGGCCGAGGGGTTGCAGGGTGGGGCTCCAGGGCGGGGCACAGCCCCGGAGCCTGGTGGGGCCCAGGGTGTCGTGGCTGCCACTCGCCTCCGGCTCTGGGCCCCCTGCCCGCCAGGATCCGCGGGCCTCACTCAGGAAGCCCAGGCCTGGGGCGGGACCGAGGCCGGCCACGCCCGGCTCCCCACCGAAGCCGCTGCGGAGAGGCAGGGACAGACCCGCCCGAGCGCGTGGGTGGGGGTGGGCGAGGTGCCCCAGCCCGGCCGTGACACACGAGGCTGGGGCAGAGCGAGGAATGGAAAAAGTGAGTGGCGGCAGGCGGCGGGCGGCGGCGGCGGGCGGCAGGCGCTTTACGGGAAGGCGACGCGCAAAGTGCTGAGTGTCCGCTTCCACTTATCTGCGCGCCGCGGCCAGGACGCCGCTGCTGGGGCCGCCCCTTCCTCCCTCTTCCTGCGCGCGCTTTTGTCTTCTTTTGTATCAATATGATCTCAGGCAATCTTAAACACTTTCAAAATGTGGTAATCAATTAGGTGTTTAGTTTTACTTCTGGCTGTTTGGATGCTCAAACGGTCTGTCTGGTCTTTTGCCAGGACCCCAGCTGGGCGCCTTGCCTTTGGCTCCCTCCTGCACGCGCCCCCCACGGACCCGCACTGTCATTGGCCCAAAGAGCCGTGGTCTCCCAGTGTCCCAGCCAGACCCAGCTGCTTCCGCTGCCCTCCTGCCCCCCACCCAGTAGTCTGTGACCCCAGACCCAGCGCAGTGACCCCAAGTGAGGTTCATATTTTTTTGCCAGCCAGTCGCCCCGGGAGGTATTCCAGGTGGGTTCCATGGGCAAATGCTTCACTAACGACTGGATGTCACCTGATGCTCCTCCAGTTTGCGCTTCCATGGCCAGGGCCGTGCCTGAAGAGCCTCCTGCGTCCTCGCCAGCAGCCTGGTCCCAGCTTTCAGTTTGCCAGGTGACAGGTGCAATGTAACCTGCACTTATTATGAGCAAAATTGAACATGCTTTCATTGTTTAAGCAATGTACATATAATACAGTGTGCGCATGTGTGTGCATGTGGTGTGTATGCTCATGCATGTGTGTATGCTCCGCGTGCCGTGTGCACATATGTGTTACGTGCATGTGTACATAAGTTGTGTGCATGTATGTACTGTCTGGTCACACTTCCTGCTCACCTTCCCGTTGCACCTGTGAGCTGCTCTCGCTGTATTTCTAGGTCTCTGACATTGCACACTCCTCTCCAGTTGGCCTGTGATAGTTCTGCCATGCTAATGTGCTCCGTCTTCTCTTTCCTGGCGCCTTGATTCTGAGCCAGTGTGAGGAATAGTTCATCACGTGTTCTCTTGTCTTGTAGGGTTTCTCTCTCACACTCACGCCCCTGCTGCCGGGCGATTTCTGCAAGTGAGTGGCATACGGTGAGTCTACCTGCATGCGTTTCCAGCTTGCAGTGTGGTCCCTACACTATGCATCAAAAAGTCTACCTTCTGCCCTGGTCCCATTCACTCTTGTCTCTTCATGAGCTAATCCCACTGCTTTAACTGGGTGAGTTTAGATCTGACAAAGCTAGTCTTTCACTTTCTCTTCATGGCTTTCTTGGCTGTTACTCGTTCATTTTTCCACATGAACTTTACAGGTCAGACATGCGGGTTTCTGTTGGGATCCTATTAAATTTATAAATGAACCCAGGAAGAGCTGACGCCTCAGTGATGTCTTGTCATCCTAACCAGGGTGTGTATTCCCGTCAATCAGGCCCACACCCAGCTCTCCTGCAGGTTTGCACGTTCTCGATAAATTTATGCCACAGGCATTTTACCTTCTCTGTTCTCGGAACACTATCACATTTTCTGCTCACTGGTCAGTGTTTGAATATGTGACAGCCCTCTATTTCGGGATGTTAATTTTATATCTGCTCCTTGCCTGGATTTTCATGTTGTTGTAGTATTTTCCCATGGAACCTACTGTGTTTTTCAGGCTCATGCTCACTGCAGACTTCCCAGGCTGTGTTCCTCGAACGTGTGGCCTGGTCTGGCATCCTTGCGTCTTCCTGGATGGGTGGCTCCACCTCCCGCCCCACCCAGGACAGGACCCCAGGGTGCCAGGCACAGGCTGTGAGCTCAGAGGGTTGGGGAGTGGCGGGGCCTTGGATGGGGCTCATGGGAGGGGACAGGTTGGGGGTATCTGTCATTGCAGTCAGGGAACTGGCACGGGGATGTCCTGTCTCCTCTGGAGGACGGACCAGGCATTCTCTTTGCAGGCTGCACCCCTGAGCCTGCTTGCTGGTAGCCTGGTGCAGCCCACCCACTGCCTGGCCTGGCCCCAGCCTGGAGCACAGACCCTGCCCAGGAGGGACCCCAAGGTGTAGGGGACTCATGAGGGCTGCAGCAGGGCAGATATAGGCACAATCGCTCAGGGATGTCCTGTGCCAGATTGAGGTGGTCTGGGGGAAGGGTGCCGTAGGACCCTGGGGCATGAAGCCCAGAAAGGGCTCCTGGGGGGTGGGTCCAGCAGCCCCCTAAAGTCAGAGGCTGTGTGAGTGTGGGAGGAGCCAAAGGAGTGGAGATGAGGGCCTCAGGGGGCTGTGTGTTTCTTGAATAGTGACATCGAGGCCGGAGCCCTCCATCTGCCTGGAACCAGCAGGGTCTCCCCCTCCCCTCATGACCTTGTGACTAGGACAGAACTGGGGGCCTTTCTTTGAGCTTCTGTCATTATTTAATTACTAGAGGCCCGGTGCAAGAAATTCCTGCAGGGGTGAGGGGGGACCCTCAGCCCGGCCTGCACCATCTCGCAATCCGGGACTGCTGGCTCCTAACTGCTCACCTGCCTGCCTGCCTGATTGCTGCTAACCATTCTGCCTGCTGGCCTGATCACCCCCAACTGCCTCTGTCTTGGGCCCCGCTTTTTTCCGGAAGGACGTCTGGAAGGATGTCCAGAAGATGTCCGGTCTAATTAGCATATTACCCTTTTATTAGTATAGATAATATAATAGAAAGGGAAAGGGCTGCTCAGTGTGTTTGTGGAGCCCACGAAGGACACCTGCTTCTGAGCCCCCACACTGGGTGCCCACGGGCCATCCTGCAGGACAGCTGATGCCCTGTGTGTGCTGGGTAAGGAGTGGTAGTCTGGCTGGAGGGTGCCCACTCAGCACCCCAAGCAGGAGCCTCCGAGGCACCTTTAAATAGCACCGTAAATGGGCGCCATGGAGGAGGCCACTCGGGGTGCTGCCCACCTGGGCGGCCAAGTCTCTTCTCCAGGCCTGGGGAGAGCCAGGCTCTTGCACGTCCCTCTGTGTCCTTCGAGGTGTGTGCTGGATTTCCTCGCTCTGGAGGCACCTTACTGGCCGCCCAAGACAGTCTCCAACCAGGACCCACTGTGCCTCTTGTCCAGGCACCAGTCTCCCCTGAGAGGCAGGGGGAAGAGGGACACAGTGACTCCCGAAGCCCCTCTGACACCCAGGGTGGGTGTGCAGGAGGCACAGAGCCGCAGTTCAGGACAGCAGGTCTGCGTCTGGAGCCCTGGGCCAGTCTCCTCTCCTCGCCCAGAAGGGACAGTGGTCTCTCCTGCGTCCAGGTCCCTCAGGGTTTCAGAGGAGAGCCAGGCAGGGCTGACATGGTGCAGGGGTGTGACCCCACTAGGCTCAGCCCTGGGCGGCCACCCAGTTATCGCAGGGTCTGAAGGCCATGGGCCGGCGAGGAGCCGTCAGAGCGGCCAAGAGCAGTGTCCGTCTTCAAGTCTCAGGGGCTGGGGCCCCTGCGGGCTGTCGGCAGAGGCCCTGCGGGGAGAGCCGGGCCTGCCGGGGAAGACGATGGTGGCGTACTCGGTCTGTTCCGGCACACAGGGGGCGGGGGGCTCCGGGGTCTTCTCCCGCCTCTGGAAGTCCAGCTCCCCGTAGTCCACAGATGCCACAGAGGGGCCCTCCTTCTTAGGGGAGAGGGAGAGAGGAGTCAGCGCTCTCTCAGTGGCTGGTGAACACACACGTACACACAAGTGTGAACACAGACCCACACATGCGTATGCACACATACACAGCGGGGCAGGGCCTGAGCCCCACAGCCCGTCCTTGGGCTCGGGTGCCCACGTTCGAACAAGGTGACATGGTTGGGGATGGGTGTGGCTGCTCCTGAGGCCACTCACCCCTGGGGTTGCCTGTCCCTCGCACCCCTTCCCTGAAATGTACCAGAGTCACCAGAAGGGGAAGGGAACTCACCGGAGGCTGGTCCTCACTCCGGCAGGCACAGCCCCCTGCAGAGAAACACAGGGAGTCAGGTCCAGGAGGCCCAGGCAGGCTGGGTCTCAGCAGGCGGTGGGGTGGGAAGACCTCTGGCCACGGGAAAAGCCCAAACCTCCAGGCTTGGGTGGCCAAGCTGCCTCCCTGCCTGCTCCCACCCCCCCATGCAACCACCCGAGTGCCTGCTCATCTCCGAGGGTCCGTCTGGAAGTGAGTTGCTGGGTGTGAGGCCACATAGGACCGCCTGTCTTCCGGGCTTAGTGCTCCTGCTGGTCGCAAACCTGGCCGAGCCTGGTGTCCACTGCAGGGCACCAAACCCACCTTGGGTCGCGGGCTGGCGCCGTAAAGCACACAGCAGACACATAGTCAGCGGTGCTATGGCAGCATCTCCCTGATCGACGTGCACAGGAGCACCACGTGCGTCCCCACCAGGGACCAGCGCCCAGATGTGCATACAGCACATCTCAAAATGATCTGAAGGGGCCTGGTGGGCACGGCTCAGTGGATGAGCGTTGACCCATGAACCCAGAGGTCCCTGGTTCCATCCCCATCAGAACATATGCTTGGGTTGTTTGCTCAATCCCCAGCAGGGGGCATGCAGGAGGCAGCTCTGTTTCTCTGTCATCGATGTTGCTATCTTCTCTCCCTCTCCCTTCCTCTCTCTCTAAAAAAATCAATAAAAACATATTTAAAAAAATATCTGAAGGAGGAAAAATGTGATCCCTGGAGAAATGAACCCCGCAGGGCCTGGAATGGCAGGGCAGCATGGCCGCTGTCCCTAACCACCCAGGAGGAGGGCATGGAGGCCGTGGCTGCCCTTGTCACCCTGGGCGGCCACCCAGTTATCGCAGGGTCTGAAGGCCATGGCCGGCGAGGAGCCGTCAGAGGGGTCAAGAGCAGTGTCCGTCTCGAGTGAGAACTCCTGCTGTTGCCACACATGGTGCCTGTCCTGGGAGAGCGTGACCGGAGCCTCTGGCGGGCAGGGCCTCGGAGGGGCTGACCTACCCTGGGCTGGGCCCCCTTTAGGAAGTGGCCCCTTTTTCCGGCCCCTTTTTCCTCACTCTGCAGGCACCTTACTGGCTGCCCAAGACAGTGTCCAACCAGGACCCCCCGTGCCTCCTGTCCAGGCACCAGGCCCCCCTAAGAGGTGGGGGGGGCACAGTGACTCCTGAAGCCCCTCTGACACCCAGGGCGGGCGTGCAGGAGGCACAGAGCCACAGTTCAGGACAGCAGTGACTGAGTGAGGTCAGCTGCCCGTGACCACCACCATCCTGGGGGGCGGAGCGGCTGTGGCTGTCACCACAGGCCCCCAGCAGCTGTTAGAAGCACCGTCACAGTGGCTTGTGGTCTGAGATGTGGCCTGAGGCTTGAGGGCAGCCTTGGGCAGCTACACAGGGGCTCAGCCTGGGGGCCTCTCCTAGCCTCCTGTGTGACCTGGGCAGCTGCCTTCCCCTCAGGCCCCTCCTGAGAGCATGGCCGGGGTCTCCGAGGAGAGGCCTTGGCAGTGCCTCGGGCTCCACATGGCGGGACGGGAGCGGGGCTGGCTGGGGCCTTACCTCGAGTGGCCAGGACCCAGGTCAGCAGCAGAAGCAGCAGGACGCCCACCAGGACGCTTGTGACACCGATGACCAGGCCCTGTAGCTGACCTGCGGGCCTGGGTGGGGGGCTGGGGCCCTCCGTGGGCTGTTCCGGGACTCTCTCTGGAGACACAGAGGACAGATACTCAGGCGTGGGGACACAGGACAGGGACTTCGGGTCCTACCCTGCCCCCTTCAAGTCTGAGGGGACTCAGTCCTAGGCTCGCACTGACCAGTCTCACCCAGGCCTGCACAACCTCACTCTGAGGCGCACCTACCACCTGCCCCTCCCTCAGGACAAATGGGGTCTGAGGTGCTTCCAAGCACAGAGGCCCAAAGCCGTTGGTCACTGTGGCCCTGGGTGTGGGACAGCCCTGTCCGCATCCTCACTCCCACCCTGGGGTCCCGCCCTGCACCTGTCACCGTGAGCTCTGCCCGGAGGCTCTCTTGGATCTGCATCTTGGGGTGCAGGTAGATGGCCCCACAGAAGTAGATGCCGCTGTCATTGCGCCGGGCAGTGAGGACACTCATTTTGAAGTCCTGTCCGTTGGGCAGCTGGGTCATGCGGAAGCGCTGGTCCCTGCGGACTTCCTGCCCGCTGTCCTCAGGGAAGGCGGCCAGCTTGTCCGTCTGGTTGCTGGGGCTCATGCGGTACCAGTTGAGCACGAAGCCCTCAGACGTGTTGGAGAAGCTGCAGGTGAAGGTGGCGGTCTCCCCCTCGGCCACCGTGAGCTGAGGCGGGTGGAAGGTGAGGGGACTCCAGGGCCTGTTGGGAGTCTCTGTGGGGTGGAGAGAGAACCAGCGGGCCTTGAGGAAGGCCTGTGGGACAGCCCACTGAGACCCCCCTCCCGCTTTCCCACATCCCGTCAGACAGGAAGGTCCTGGGAAGCCCAGCCACGCTGGAGTCCCCTCTGCCAAGAGCCTTGTAGCTTCTTGCACGCCTCCTGGGGACAGGTGCTCACCTCTCACCAGGGAACCCCGTGGTGGGATCTTGTCCACTGATGGCATCCAGAGATCTGGGCTGGGCTGCCTCTGGCTCCAGCCCCAGGCCCCCCACCCCATTTCTTTCCCAAGTAGTGGCTTAGGGCCTTCACCCCTCCCTCCTTGACTCAGGCCCCCAGCTCTGCCTCCCAGGTCTCTGAGCCGTCTGCACTGTGCTGGGGGGTGGGGAGGGTGGCCTGGGCGCTGGGCTGGGCTGCCGGGGCTGCCGTGGGAAGCCCCGCTCCAGTGGGCCCAGGGGCCAGCCTTTCCCCCATTTCAGGACAAGCTCAGAGCCGGACCCCACATGGGCACTGCTGACCTGGGTAGTGTGGGGCCCCCCAGGTCCTCTTCCAAGGCTCTGGGGACTGCAGTTCAACTGGGCCATCGCCCCTGAGATGGACGGAAATAGAGTCCCCCACACCCTGGGCTCCAGCCCACGCTCCCCTCCCCACCCCCTCTCTCCCCCAACAAGGATGTGCCGGCGGCCTGGGGCCGCCCACACAGGAGAGGGCGCGAGACTCTCCGATGCGAGAATGAGCACACATGCTAGGTTGTGCTCACCCTCCCTCACATGCAGTCACGCTCACGGCCACACGTCTGCTTTCCCTGGCTGTGCATCTGCTCTACCCGGCTCCATCCTGCACTTGATGGGTGTGGCTCCCCACACTCCACGACCTTGCCCCAGGCTGGCTGCTTCAGGCCCACCCTGTCCCGTGCCAGGCCTGCCCAGGGAGCCTGCCCAGCGGCTCGGAGGAGGATGGGATGGTGCTGGGACCCAGCTCCCCTTCAACCTGGGCCACTTCAGGGCATGTGTGACCAGGACACCGTCTGCCCATCCCCACTGGGCACCTCACAAGGGTCAAAATCACAGATATTCAGAGACCAGGTGGGTCCTGAGATGTCCCAGTGTCCTCCATTTCTGTGGCCTTGCTCGGGGACACAGAGGCCCTTCTCCCCCTCCCACCGGTTTACACTGAGGACACTGGCGTGGAGAGGCCAGGGCCCCGCCAGCCTGTACCTCCCACCACGGCCTTTCCCGGGCACCTCTCCTGGCCATCAGTGCATGGTCAAGGGGGGCACATGGCCAGTTCTGGGGCTGCAGGTACTGTCCCTATGATCCTGTCAAGTGCCAGCTGGACATGAGCCGTGGGAGCATGTGGCCGAGAGTGTGAATGCATGTGACGGAGGGAGAGCATAACCTAGCATGTGTGCTCATTATCGTGTCGGAGAGCCTCTAGCCCCCTCCTGTGTGGGCGTCCCAGACCGCCTGCACATTCTTGTTCAGGGGGCTGGGGTCCTCTGGGCCTTGTGGAAAGGCAGCTCGAGGGAGGGCATGGGGTGTCAGGGAGGCCAGGGGGCCTGGAGAAGATCAGTTCTGGACTGGGGATGGCTGTGGCAGGTGGGGTCCTCTAGGGGGCGACACAAACACTGATGGGGACACAGCCCTTCCCTCATTCTTGATTGTGTCCTACCCTCCTGCATGCCAGCCCCGTTCCCATTGGCAGCACTAACGCCCATCTTCTTCACAAATTTATTTGGGAAGCAAGTCTCTCTCTGTCTCTCTCATTACTGGGCATTTTTCTACACTAATTATGATTTGATCTTAGATGATTTAAAGTTGAATACGTTTACTGCCTACCTTTGGTTTCTTTTTCGGGAGAGAAAAAAATGAGAAAAGACTTAGTGAAAGAGATAATACTGTGCTTTGCTTTGAAGAGTTTTGGTGTGAAAGAAAGTGACTTGGAGCTATTAGGCTGAATAAATGACCTGATAGAAGCAGTGTGGTGGCAAAGAACAGCAACGGTTCCAGGAAAGGCTGGAAGGGCACACCAATCTGGTGTCAGAGAGGTTAAGATTAACAGTAGTTTGATTTCCTCCCATTGGTGGGGCAAAAGTTTCCAGCTGCTCAGGAAAGTCCGCATTCTCCTTTCCTACACGAATGCACAATTAGCGCATACGTTCTCACGGTGGGATGCGGCGTGAATGGCACTTTGGACCTGGTCCATCGCTCTTCCCTGGCCCTCCCAGGTTCTCTCCTCTTGGCCGACCAATGAAGATGACTCTGAGTGGAAGGCCCAAGTGAAGAAAGGAAGCCCCATCAGCTTGGGTTTCTAAATAGATGTACGGAGCAGAGCCACCCTGCTAACCCCAAACCGCTCAGCTCTGTTAGATGAGCAAGAAATTCAAAGTCTGAATGTTGCACATTAGTCATGACAGTTATCTAAAGAGTAACTGCTGGGGTGTGGTGGCGACAAAAGGCAGCGTTCTCTGTGTTGTGCCGGGAAGCAAGTCTCTTTAAAGCAGTGGTTCTCAACCTTCCTAATGCCGTGACCCTTTAATCCAGTTCCTCATGTTGTGGTGACCCCCCATCCATAAAATTATTTTTGTTGCTACTTCATAACTGTAATTTTGCTACTGTTATGAATCGTAATGTAAATATCTGATATGCAGGATGTATTTTCATTGTTACAAATTGAACATAATTAAAGCATAGTGATTAATCACAAAAACAATATGTAATTATATATGTGTTTTCCGATGGTCTTAGGCGACCCCTGTGAAAGGGTCGTTCCATCCCAAAGGGGTCGCGACCCACAGGTTGAGAACCGCTGCTTTAAAGGAAGCGCCATGGGAGTGACAGTTCAAGGTGGACAAAGACTTGGCGAAGTCATTGGTGACACTGCAGCACACAGCACCCACCCTGCTCGTGTGTCCCCCGCCACTGTCCACTGAGCCAGCCCGTGTCTCCCTTCACAAACGCCCAGGAAGGCCCGTCTGGATGGCACCATCCCAAGTCACTGTCCCACCCCTTTCCCAAATCCATGCCTCCACCTGGGTCCAACTTGCCAGGGCCTCCAAGCAGGCCCCCCTCTCACGGCCGGGGCCACCCAAGAAGCTCCCCTGAGAGCCACGCAGTGCACGGAGCCACCTCCCCTCCTGCCCAGGCCCCTCCAGCAGGCTTTCCCAGGGCGCCCTGGTGAGGGCACTGCTGACCGGTCCCGGGACCCTGTCCTCGCTCTGTGTGGAGCGGGGAGCCCTGTTTCTCTGCGGTTTTGGATCTCATCTGCCCCACCCCTGACCTTAATTTGTTACCAAATGAGTCACTTGTCTGTTGGCCATTTGTGGTGCCTCTCACGGAATCGGAACTGGACGAGGCGGGTCCCCGTTCAGCTGCCCCCGTGCGTCTTTATTCATCACACAGGGAAGGCAAAAGAGCCTTCCCCTCTTTTGCTGGGGGCCCAGAGAGAATGGGACCCTGGTGGGGTCCCTGGCGGATGCCCTAAGAAGGACACATTTGTGGTCTTCCATGACCAATCATCAGACACGCCCAGGTGGAGCCTTCGAGAATGCCAGGGCTGCCAACAAAAGCAAAAATAGACGAGTGGGACGACAGCAAACTACAGAGCTGCTGCACAGCAAAGAAGCCATCAAACAAAATGAAAAGACAGCCTACAGAGTGGAAAAAAGATTTGAAATATTTGTAAATCATATATTGGATAAGGGGTTAATATACAAAATATATAAAAAACCCATAAACCTCAAAAGCAAAAATACCCCCATAAACAATCTGATTACAAAATGGACAAAGCCCCTGAACAGGCATTTTTCAAGGAGGACATACAGATGGCCAACAGACAGATGGAGAGATGCTCGTCCTCATTAATCATCAGGGCAATGCAAGTCAAAACCACCGCCAGCCATCACCTCATGCTCTTAGAATGGCTGTTTCCAGCGAATCAACAAGTGGGTGCTGGTGAGGACGCGGAGAAAGGAGCCCCTCGAGCCCTGCTGGTGGGAATGTAAACTGGTGCAGCCACTGTGGAAATCAGGATAGAGTTACCGTAAAAAGTTAAACACAGAACCAAAAATCCCAGAACATCCCAAAATGCAAAATTTGATTTTTCCACGTGCTAATTTGTGTGGAGCACTGGCTGAATCCACGCAAAACAAGGGATGTGCGGGCGCACCCGCCGATGTTATATGCAAACACCACATCGTTTTATATAAGGGCCCTGCGCATCCTTGGGTTTCAGTACACAGACCCCCGGACCCCGAGGGCCAGCTATAGTCATTTATTTAAATGTCATCTCTTCTCACGGCCAGAACTTGCAAAATGGTTGTGGCAGATACATTTGACCACAGATATGTTGTTGTTGCTTATCTTTTCCCTCACAAAGAATTTTTAAAAAACAAAACAGCCTAGAATTAGCACATGAGACGTACGAGATGTCACATAAAAATTGGAATGTCTGACCTCTCCTTAAATGTCAGAAAATCTTCAACACCTGGTGCAAGGTCCCGCCTCTGGGGCCAAGTCGGGGCTGCCCCTGCCATGAGAGCAGGCACTGGCCCAGACACCCAACACTCAACAGTTTGCCCATCTCTGACGCCTGTTTCTGCCCCTGGAAACCTTGAGACTAGTTAGGAAAATATGATTGTGTGTGTATTAGGTGTGAGTCAGTTAGGGTGCTCCAGGTGGTGGCTGAGAGAAGAGGAGAGAACACAAGAGAGGATGTTCAAGATTTAGGGACACAATGGGTGATCACTTAGTAAATGATATAAATGCCTAATCACTATGTTATACACCTGCAACTGATATAATATTGTGTGTCAACTATAATTTAAAAATAAAAATTATTTTCAAAAAAAGATTTAGGGACACTCCTTTCGGCGGAGTAGGAATAGCGGTGTGACCCTAAGTGGCCAGGGGAGCGATGATGTCCCAGGGGAGCAGGCAGGCATGGCTGCTGTGAGAGCCGGCTAAGGACCACGAGTTTAAGTTCCGACCCAATTCCTGCCCGACACCACAGGGTTGACAGAAACCTGGATCTCAGAGCTTACAATATATTACTTTCTTGTTCAATCTCAGTACACACAAGTTCAGGATTGCTACCTCACGTCTTGGTGGGAAACACCTTTACTAACGAGACTGTAGTACATCTGTGCAATATAAGGGGCTTTTCCAGAATTCCCAGACGTACTGGAACCCATCCCCGTGGACACTGAGGCATCCCACTGCACGTTTGAAAGCAGCTAAGAGAGTGGAGTCAAAGGTTTTCATGATAAGAAGAAAGAATTCTGTAACGATGTTTGGTGGGGGCTGTTAAGCAGGCTCATGACTTCGCAATGTGGACAAATACGGAATCATTACATTATGCACCTGGAAGTAATGCAACACTGTGCCCATTATACCTCAACAAAATATTCCTAGTTCTAAGGCTTCCCATGTGTGAAATAAAATGGAGATTTGGATTTTAAAAGAAAAAGAACTCCAGGGCCTGCAGAGACAGAGGGAGCTGAGGACTGCCACTGCCAAACAAGCAGTCAGCGCTGGACTTGGGGACATCTGAACTCGGGACTCGCGAAGCTACCGAGCCGGGAGGAGGGGAGGTCTGCGGGGCGATCCGAACGACCAACCTCCATGGCCCAGCCCAAATCGCGGTGACATGCACAGATGGGACGGGGCCCAGATGGACACGCTGAGACCACACCCAGCACCTCAGTGTGGCCTTACTTGTACTTGTTCACAATGAGGTCCAGAGGTGGCCCTCATCCCACAAGACCCTGACCTTACAAGAAGAGGGACATCTGGACAGACGCAGACAGGAGAGACCACGTGAAGACAGAGGCAGAGATGGGGTGATGTCCGAGCCAGAGGACGAGAAGGATTGGCGGCCACCACCAGGAGCTGGAGAGGCCTGGCCTCTCGGCCCTCCGCCGGCCAAGACCTGGCTGCCGGCTTCCAGCCTCTGAGTTGTGGGACCAGGGACTTCTGTTGAGAAGCCGCCTGGTCTGTGGCGTTGGTCCCGGCCGCTGATACACACGGCGAATGTGCCAGTGTTATCAATTGGCAGCTCTGGGTGCAGGGTGTTCACTGCTGTTTTCTGAAACTATTCTGTCTGTTTTAAATATCTTTCAGAACTGTAATTTGAAAAAAATAAATACAATAATCTGACTTAATGACCTGTGCCACGGTCTGTGCCAGACGGTGTTTATAAGTGATCTGATTTAACCCCCATGGCCCTCAGAGGGCAGGCACTGCTGTCCCCAAAGTGCAGGTTAACACCGTGGCTCTGAGGTTACGTGACTCGCGGAGGTGAGGAAGCTGTCGATGAGGGCTCTTGCTTGACTCCAGGCTGTCGTTTCCTCTCGTTTTCTCTCCTTCACTCGCACGGGGGTGGGTGGGTGGGGGCGGCCACTGCTGGGCTTGGGATAGTTCGTAAAATGCGAGAAAAACATGTACCTCAGGAGGGGACTTCCATGGGAAGGACTTAAACAATAAATCTAGTGAATGAATTAGGAAGGAAGATGATGACATGGGAGAGAAAGTCCCCGTGGCCTGGAGCGCCCGATTCTGGGCCAGAGCAGGAGGAGGACACCACAGGCGTGTGACAGGGCAGTGCTGTGCTCTGTGCTGAGCCGGGGCCACACATGGGGAAACTGAGGCTCTCTGCATTTGAACATCTCGCCCAGGCTGACACATCTGAAGCTGGAGGGTCTGGCTGCAGAGCCTTATGCTCACCTTTCCCTGCTTTGGGAAGGGGTCGTGGTGAGGATCGGGCCATGGGAGGTCCCAGCCCCCTTGACGCCCTAGCCCAGTGATGGCCAACCTTTTGAGCTCGGCGTGTCAGCATTTTGGAAAACCCTAACTTAACTCTGGTGCCGTGTCACATATAGAAATTTTTTGATCTTTGCAACCATAGTAAAACAAAGATTTATATTTTTGATATTTATTTTATATATTTAAATGCCATTTAACATAGAAAAATCAACCAAAAAAATGAGTTTGCGTGTCACCTCTGACACGCGTGTCAAAGGTTCGCCATCACTGCCCTAGGTCCTCCTCCCAGGTGGCGCACACGCCTTCTGCCCCCATGCCTGGACTCCCCCCAAGGCCCTCCACCAGGCGCCTTTCGGCCACAGGCCCTGGGACCACTTTGAGTGTCTTCACTGACCCTGAGGTCTTCCTGGAGAGTGAGGCCCTGCCCAGGAAAAGGCCTGCCCCCATCACCATCAAGTAGACCCTGGAGGGCCAGAGTGACCGAGAGCCCTTGGACCCAGGACTCCAAGGTCCGGAAACCCCCACCCCATCTTGGTCCTCCCAGGGCCCCTCGGTCCCCATCCCAGCGAGGTCCAGAGGAAAGGCCCTGGGCCGGACGTGGGGGTCCACCTTCCCCGGTCCCCACCTGTGCAGTGCTGGCTGAGGATGGGGACAGCCAGGAGGAGCCCCGCTCCCCGACCTTGGGCCTGCAGGGCCTGTCCAGTGCACGGCTCATACCGGGGCCCCCTCACCAGAACCTGCCGTGGACGCTGAGGGTCGTGCCCAGGCTCTACACCCGGGATTCTCCTCCAGAGGCCGCAGGCGGCGCACCCCAGGCCCGGAGTGGGGTTGGGGGAACGATCTTTACTTGCACAGTTACTTTGGATATAGCAGAGTAAGTCTCCGGGCCACCCAGCCTGTCACCTCAAGAGCCAGTCAGCCCCGCGAGGCTGGTCCATCCCAGGAAAACCCAAGTTGGGCAGCTGGGCGTAGGTTTGGGCTCTGGCCAGCCCGGCCTGGTCATTCTACAGCAAGGGGCACAGGCTCACCATCCCACTGGCCACAGAGGAAGACCTGGGATACTCCTGCCCGCTCAGGGGTCTCACCACCAGGTGAGCCCAGAGAGGGCACTTCCCTCGCCCAAAGCCACACAGCACTCCGCCACACAGTCTCCTCCCCACCTGCCAGAGACAGCGCCAGAGGCTGTTCCCACCCCGACCCACCAGCCAGCTGTGATCCACATACCTAGGAGCCAGCCTGGCCGCCAACCCAGCTGCAGCACCGCCCAGAGGAGCGGCCAGGGCACCCCCGGGGTCCCCATGCCCCAAGCGCCTGCCGACCACAACGTCCTCTCCTCTGCTCCGGCAGAAGTGCGTGAAGAAAGGAAACTGTTTCCCTGGGCTTGAAGGCACACGCCCCGCCCCTTCTTCCTCCTCCTCCACATGGGTAGGAGGAGGGTTAGGGGGTGGAGAGAGAGAGAGAGATGGGGGATGTGAGAGAGTAGAGGACAGGGGAAGGAGGTGGCAGGGAGAAAGAAATACAGACAGGTGGGGGGCGGGGGTGTCTGGGTACCTCTCCCCATCAGGGATCTCTATTGAGGGCAGATTTTGTTTCTTTATCTGGGGTTGCCTCTTTCCCTTTCCATATGATAGGGGGTGACTGTCCTCCCTCCCCAGCCATCCTTCTGACAATGGGAAGGTGGGCCACCCTCTCAGGGCAGAGGTCCCCCAGGTAGCAGTGAAGGTGGGCCCCACCCCTTGCCCACAGCCCACTCTGCCTCCTCTGTGGCCTTGTGTTTGAACCCATCAACTCTGCCACTACTGGGGGCCAAGGCCCAGGGCCTGGCCAGACCTCTGCTGCCCCACCCAGCCACCCCTCTGGGCAGTGGGCAGTGGGCAGCCAAGGTCCTGTCTGGCCCTCCTGATCCCGGAGAGCCAACGTCCCTCCCCGGACTGCCAGGCCCCCTGCAGGGGCAGCTGAGGGCCTGCCTGACCCATGGCTTAGGTCAGGGACATTTCTGTCAGGCCCCCCTGAGGCCCTTATCCATGTCCTCCCCCTTTTCCTCCCCACCTGCATGGTGGCCTTGCTGCCGGCCCTACTGAAGGCCGTCGGCTGCCTAGCTTGGGGTTTCAGAAGGCCCCAAGCAGGCTGGGGAGGCCCCATCTCCAGATCTTTCCACTGTCAGCAGCCTCCTGACAGCGCACAGTGTCCAGGGCTCAGCCTCTGAGGCAGACCTGCCTTCCGGGCCTGCCCGTGCCACAACCCCCGCAGGGCCCCTCGGGACTCGTTCAGGTGGGAGACGGGGTTCCGGTCGGCAGGGGGCTGTGGCCTGGCTGCCCAGCCATATGTTTGTGAGATAGTTTTGCTCTAAGCCTTTTATGATAATGAATGGAAAACAAGGAGAAAAGAAACTGCTGATATTAGTGATGCAATGCGTAGGTCTCACCAGCTTAAAATAACCAGACAGAAACCCAGAAACCGCCTGACAGCTGGCGCCACAGCCGGCTGGGCTCCCAGGGCACCGCTCAGCGTTAGTTGTGAAGGGAAAACATTAAAGAACAGAAACGGTGGAAACAGCATCAAAGACGCTGGTGTCTGCAGGCAGAGCGAGTGAGCAGGCGGCTTCAGTTTAGAACAAAGGGCCACTCCCCGTGTGGGTGGCTGGAGGGCCCAGGGCCCAGAGGACTGGCACTGGGGTGGGAGGGGCTCCATGGAGGGCTGGGGGTGGGGCCGGGTCAGGCTAAGGGTCACCAGGCATCCAACGCAGGGAACCAGCTGCTTCAGCTCCGGCCAGGCTCTGTCCAGGGCATTGCAGTTTGTCCCCAGGGGCTGAGGGGACTGGGGGGGGGGGGGGGGGGCACTGTGCTCTGGGTGTGAGAGGCTGTCAGATCCCTGGGAGGGGTCTCCTCACCATCCCAGCAGCCTCCTTCCTGTGGCTTATCTGCAAGAGCTTGGGCATGTGCCCACAGGGGGCCAAAAGCCAGGGTGATTGAGTCCCTCCTGTCCGCCTCCCTGGTCTGCTTTGTTTCCCCTCCCCCTCCCTCTTGTCCCCTCCCTTTATTCTGCTCCCTCCTGCTGACCCCTTCCCCTCCCAGTCCTTCCTCCTGATTTATCCCTCCCTCTCCCCTATAACTCCTCCCTCAGGAACAGTGGGCTGGAGGGGACATAGACAGGAGGTTGAATGGGGCACTGGGCACTGGGAGGTTCTGGGTTGGCAGGGGGGGGTACAAGGGAGGAGGGGGAGGACCCTCCTGTGAAAGGAGGTGGGGACCTAGAAGAGCCCCCACCTGCCTGGGGTGGGCAGGACCAGCAGGATGACTGGGGAGGGTGTGGCACAGGCAGGACAGGGGCAGGAGGCCTGGGCATCTTGGGGTGATGCATCCCCACCGCTTATCAGCACCCTGTCCCCCCAGACACGCAAACCCCATGCACACACGTGGTCCCCATCACACTGCCTCCCTCACCTTCTCCTTAGGAACAGGACAGGGGTCCTGGTTGGAGAAAGGTGGGAAGGTCAGGGGCGCCATCTCCCCGGTCCTGTGTCCCTGGCTTGCTGGCCCTCTCCTCCCTGCTCCGTGTCCTGGCTTCACCCTCAGGTGTGGCGGGTTGCATCTGGGGTCACAGCCGGCTGGCCCGCCTCTTTCCCTCACCTCGCACCCTCTCCAATAAGCAGGTCCGGGCGGGGTCGTCAGGTACAGACAGCCCACACCCCAGCTCTGTGTGGTGTCCCCCGGAGAAGGGGGGTGCTGCTCTCCGGTCGTCTTGGGCTGTGGAGAGTGTGAGAGCTGACAGAGTGGACCCTGCGCACTCGGCCCAGGTTCCCCAATGGTCCCTGTGTACGAGCCCCGTCCATCTCGCAGCCAGGACGCTGGCCTGGGCACAACCACTCATCTGCTCAGAGCCCGTTTTAGGGACTTAATTTGTGTGTGTGTTTGCTGTGCACGTCACCCTGTGCCGTTCCATCACCACGGGCCCCTGCTGGTCCCTCGCCCGCCTCCCTGTCCTCCGCCCGGGGACTGCGTGTTTCTGTGACGCATGTGAATGGATGACTGAGCGTGGCTGTCGGGCTGGGCCACGCGGCCTCGAGCTCTTCACCCACGAGCACGTGTCTCCCATGGGCTCCTCCCCGGAGAGCAGAGCTGGGGGTGGTGGGAGCTGAGCGGCTGCCTGGCCCTTTCTGTTGAGTTTTGGTGATGGTGCTGTGGGCACAGGGGTGTGTGGTGTCAGTGTTACTGTCAGCCTTGACCACAGGAGTGGTCCCCGCGGGCGCTGGGGCTGCGGTGTGCATGTTCCTGTCCCTGTGGTATAACCCCTTTATCCGGTGGCGGGCTGCCATCTGCGGGGCCTAATGATAAAGCTCAGGAAGCAGGGCCCCCTCCCGAGGCTCTCTGCAGGGTGGCACCCCCTCTTTCTATCAGGAGGGTCCTGGGGGCTGGAGAAGTGCCCGCGGGACTCCCAGCCTCCTGCTCTGGGCATAGGTGCTTTAGAGTTTCCAAGGCGCCAGCCCCAAGGTCACACACACACACACACACACACACACACACACACACACACACGGTGGCAGCAGGCGGAGGGGAACATGAGCCAGCACAGATGGAAAGTGGGGGAGAGGGGATCCCCCGAGCTCTCCGGAGGCAGTTTCCATTCACAGAGAAACACAGGAAGCAGGAGGATCATCCCGAAACTGGTTCTGAAGAAGCTGGTGGGGTGATGTCAGTGACCCTGTCCCCGAGCTGTTCCCATCGGGTAGGGTGGGACCTGCCACTGGCCGGCAGAGTCACAGGTACTTCTGAGGTCGGAACAGGAAATGGTTAATAATGTTTGCAAATAAAAACTTTCTGTTCTATCCTGTTTTTGAAGCATTTCCCAGAAGTTAAGAGAGGTTGCCTAATTTGTCGGCAAAATTCAAGAACCAACTTGTAAGTGTTAGAAATTCTTTATCACTGCTTATTAAGTAACAGCTTAATACCGCAGAACATTTCAGATCATCCTCTGACAACTCATTCTTCCCTCCCCCCCAAATTCTTGATAGTGAACTTTTCAAATAAAGACATGTTCGCGTCTCTCCTCTGTATAAAACTTTATGAAGTCAAGGCGTTTGCTGTGAAATGCTGCCCACGGCCAGGGGAACATTGTCTGCCTGGCTCCCTTCACCGTCCGGGTCCCGAAGGACTCTTGTTCATTAACTGTCTCTTCACAAAGCCACTCGGCCACTCGCTGGGTTCATCGTTCTGAGGATCAAAAACTTCCTCACTGAGTCTCAGGCCAGCCTCTTGCCACAGCTGCTGCCAACCGGCCCTCTGCCCTTCATCTTCCTGTGTGTTTGCAGGACGGGCCTACATCCTGTTAAGTGGAAAACCAGGTTCTACAGGAAACAGGAAATTACTGATGCCCAGGGACTAGACATTTTTTGCTCACCTTGGCTTTTGGAATTGCACTTTTGGAGTTTCTGTAAATACTCAGAAATGTAGAGAGTTTTTTATACCAAGGTTCTATTAGCTTCATTCTTTGTTTTGTTTTGTTTTTAATTTTTATTGATTTCAGAGAGTAAGGGAGAGGGGAGCGAGATAGAAACATCAATGACAGGAGAGAATCATTGATCAGCTGCCTCCTGCACGCCCCCCCCATCCCCCGCACTGGGGATCGAGCCCGCAACTCGGGCACCTGCCCTTGACCGGAATCAAACCTAGGACCCTTCAGTTCACAGGCTGACACTCTATCCACTGAGCCAAACCAGCCAGGGCATATCAGCTTCATTCTTAATTTCACAGTTTTTGAAGAAGACACTGGCCTTGAAGTAATAGATGGCTTCATCCACAATATCTGTCTGTCTCTTTTGTCTTTCTGGGGGCAGGTCCTTTGAACTGACCTCTGATGGTGACAGTGCGGTGTTTCCAATGAGTTTGGGGTTGGGGTCCATGAGAGAAGAGTGGTAAGCCAGCATCTTGGTGGCCCCTGAGTTTCAACCCAGATGAGCAAGAACCAAATTTAATTTTAATTTTTAAAAATCCTCGCCTGAGGATATGCTTATTGATTTTTTCTTTTGAGAGAGAGAGAGAGAGAGAGAGAGAGAGAGAAACATTGATGTGAGAGAGAACATCAATTGGTTGCATTCTGTTTGTGTCCCGACCGGGGATCCAACTGGCAACCCTTAAGTACATGGGATGATGCCCTAACCAACTGAGCCACACCAGCCAAGGCAAGAACCAAATTTTTAAAAAATTAAACAAAATACTTTCACCATCTACTATGCACAAGAATAAAGATAGCCACTTGCCTGTTTGTTGAGGTGGAGGGTGTCACAAGAGATTCTCATCCCCCTCATTTTCTAAACCTTCTAGAACGCTGTGAGTAGTTTAAATCTGAATTCACAGTTTAAATCTCCAAATG